TCATATGTGGTCTAGATTCTGGGCATTTCATGCACCAAAAGTGTTTGATGAAATGCCTGAACCAAGGTTGTTAGAGGTTTAAGTGTTATTCATCATGGGAATGATTGTCTATATGCCTAAATGACAGATTAAACTGATTCTTAATGCTTGTTAACTCATGTTTCACTGATGATGATTGGGTTAGAAACTGTTTTAGCATAGGAGTTAATACCTTCATGAGAGGATTAACTTAATTAAAGATGTTTATGTTGAATGGTTTGTTTGATCATATGATTCATTAGCTCATTAGTTTATCACTGAAGGCACCCTAATCCACTATCATGTCTAAGACCTTTCTCATCATCATTCATACATTCTCATCACTTGTCATTGTTTAGTTCTTGTTTAATCATTTCATTAGTCTTTGATCCTGTTTAAGTTTGTAGTTGTCTTTAGATAATCAAAACCACTCTTGTTTGCTTGAATTAAGAACCTGATCACATAGTTTAGTGTCTAACACCACATCTGGATTGATAAACCTCTTTGTGCTACTTTAACAAGGGGATTGATAGCCCTGAGATCCTAAAAAGTCTTGTCTATCAATACCGTAGTCCATGACAGTTTTTTATTAAATTTGTGGTCCAATTCTAAATCTTTTAAATAGATTATTAATGGGGCTGTGTGCTATATGTGATCTGAAGAGGCTTGATAATTTTGAAGGTGCATTGTACACAAATAAAAACCATATGGGGAAATTTTTTTTTTCAGAGCATTAAAAGATGGAATTTTTTTTAAAAGCATTAAAACGTGGACATGTATCCTTCATTCGAGTGCTGACGTGGCAGCAAGATGGAAAGTTGACCCTGACCTAAACGTGCGGGTTTTTACTTTTCAACTATTTCAAATTTAAATTTTCATAAAAGTAAATATAATCATCATTTACTAATATTTTATTATAAAAAATCGTAAAAATCAGTTTAAAATATATATTGAATATTATTAAATAATATAGAGTTCTATAAAAATAAAATAAATATTCATCAATAATTTTAATTAATTATAACATAAATTTTTATTTAACATTTACATAAATATTATTGAAGAGTCAATTAATAATAAAAAATAATTTTTAAATAGTTAAAAACTTACACTACAACAATTAAGGTGTGTTGTATCATTTATTATATTTGTTTATATTATTTGAACTTTGCATCATTTATAAAACTAACTCTAGAAGTGGTGACTTTAATATTTTGCAGCATTTTTACCGATTGATGTAAATACTTCAATCATTTATAGTAATTGATGCGAATATGTATCACTTGTAAAAGGATGTTAAGATTTGTCTCAATTAAAATAGATGATATTATAATTTATTTCGTTTATAATAAATAATTTTAGTTGATATAATAATTATATCAGTTACAAATAAGTGATGCCAACTAAGTGTCAGTTATTATAAGTGTTAGTAAGACTTATATGATTTATTAAAAACTGATGTTAATATTAGTATCATCATGTAACTGATAATAATTAAACTTGTTATTATAAATGATTATTAATGTAATATTAATTAATATTAAAATTTATATATAAGTGGACATGTGTCAATTTCTTCCATGCTGACGTGGCGATCAGCTGGAGAAACGATCAGCTGGAGAAAGTTTGTCAAGTTTTATATATAAGATTTCTCATTGACGTGTAAATTGTGATTACACTATGGTTTATATACAAACACAAACTTAATCAATCTATAGCAATCGACTTTACTAAACTGATGCCGGTTTATTTTAATAGAATGTAATCAATTTATATATTCTACCAATGAAGACTTACTCGGATTTACACGGTATATAAATCAAAAGGCATGTTCGGAGAATTGTGAAAGAAAAAGGAGACTGGTTATTTTGACGGATGTTTAGAGTTGGAATTTTTGAAAAAAAAAATGAAAAAGGGTAATCCACACAGCATAAACAGTAATACCAAAATCTTGCATTGAATTTAATCTGTAGAAACTTTTGGTATTCAGTGTTTATTAGAAGAATACGCGCGGAATACTGACATCTTTAATTGTGCCTCTCTTCTAATAATAATATGGAAACAAACGGTTTTAATAAAAAATAATAAATTAGGAATAAACCCACACAATATACCGGGTAATATTTTTTAAATATTTTAAATTTAATTTTAGTTTTTTATTAAATTAAAATTGATGGTAAAAATCATTTAACAAAAAATTTATAAATAAAATTCATGATAATATGATAACAATATATATATAAATATCACACAACCGATATTTATTTGTAGATATATCCATCGAATAAAACGTTAAGGTAGTTTTGTTATGCGGTTTAATTATTAGTAGGTTTTTAATATGAAAGTAATATGCTGTTAATATATATATATATATGTATATACATAAAAACATGGAATAGAAATCTAAATATATATAACTATAAAATAAAAATTTAATTGTGAATATTTTATTAGAGATCAGACTATCATTTTAAGTTAATGAATTCTATAATATATGTTAGTAAAGAATATATATAGAATTATCATAGTGGACAAACCACATACTATCGCAATTTACTAAAATATTTTTTGACCAACCCGTAAAAAACTATAATTAAATTTTGAAACAATATTCCAGTTTTTTTTTTAAAAAAATGAATGAATAAATTTTCGAAAATGATACTAATTAAATTTAAAAATACAAATAAAAAATATTGCAAAGTTATAAAAAGATTTTTTCATATTATTATTTAAAATAATAGAATATATTTTCATATTTTAATAATTTATTAAAAAAATTAAATACTTGTTGATTTATATCCATATATTTTAAAAACAAATCTGTGAGTTCTATATTTAACTATCTCGTATGAAAAAATATTTAGTAAAGCTTTCTATATTTATAAAACGTATTTTTGTAATATCTTATAAGTAAATATTTATTTATGTATTATCTTATAAATAGATATTCATTTATATAAAATATTCTATAATATTTATAAATTAAGGGTTATTTATGTAAATATCTACTCAAATAATAATATAGAGATTGGTTGTTAATAAGAAATATGAAAACTGTAAGTACAAGCATCAAATACTTTTTGCAATACATACGTGATAATTATATCAATGGGATGATGTATTGTATAGGCACAAAGAACAAACAATAGCTCTCTGTTCTATGAATTTATTTTATCTATGCTTTTAGAAAGAATTCATTACATCCAACATTAAAATTAACTGATCCGACGACTTCAAGCTTCTAAGTGATATGATCAACCAAAGATAATTTTCCTTATATGATTGGATTTTGGCTTGAACGGCAAATTTAACTTCGTTCATTTTTCTCAAAACACTATTTTACGTATGATCAACCAAAGCTGGTTCTTCTTGCTTGTGTTGTACAAATACATGAAATTATCTTTTTCTTTTTGAAGTAACTTGCATATGTATCGGTCATTTTGTTGAGCCATCTTAAAGCCGGGCATATAAAATTAAGTGTAACAAATTTTGCTCAAATTTGGGACGCATATGAACTTACGGTGGATTGTTGTTAGACGAAGCATAAACCACGTGAGTTCTTTTCTGTTATTTTGACACCAAGGTACTCCGTACTCGCTTTGCAAGGCCTAAAAAGAAAGACTGCCACATATCTTCTGAGTATAAGGTCGAGTTAGAAGAAGATCATCATATCTATTCCGTATCTTCTCTTTCCATCACTTCTATTTCATCTTTTATTTATCATCAAATCACTTATGTTTATTAGAAGGGAAAAAGGTTTAAGATTTTCCCCTGAGAATTAAGATAGGAGAAGATTTTCGGTCAATATGTGAGAGTAACCAGCCAGGTGAAAAAATTTTAGATATAAGTAACGGAACATGAGTCTACAATCTCTTCCTACATATGTGAGAGATTGTGAACGCCATTACAAGAAGAAGAATTCTAGATAGCATGGCAAGAGTTAGAAGCATCGTCCTATTAAAGCTGTCACAAAGTCTCCAAGTCATTCCAACTAATAATGTTGGTCGTAATTTTATAGCTTTCGATCCCTGCAGAAAATGGACTCGTTTCATTAAGAAAATGGTTATCTAGCTAAATTTTTTATTAACTTTCTTATTACCTTGTCTCCCATGGTGCCTTGGATTCCCAGTGTCAACAGAAATTCTTCCAACGGTATTTACATTGACGTTGGTATCTTTAGATACAAACTTCTTATCATTCGGCATGTATTTCTCAAACCATCCGACCAGATAACGCTGAAAATTTATAGACATCGTGAAAAACTGTTGTTTTCTCAAAATATTTCACAAAGTTACAAATCATCAACATATCCAATCACTTAAGACAAACATGGTGATATTAACATTGGGATTTTTGCTAAAAATGACCTAAAACTTGATTTTAAATACAAAAGTAAATCTCAGGTGCAATATTTGACAAAAATAACCTAAAAAGGTAATGAAAAGACAACTTAATCCTGAATTACCAAACAAAAAAACGGATGTCCTAATTACCGTTTAAACTCTGACGAAGTCTACATGTAAGAAGTCTACTATGTAACTAAATCAAAAAAATTAATTTTAAAATTAATAAAAAATAATTTTGGTTTGAAATTTGCAATCATAATTAAATTAGATATTGTTATTCTTAATGTATATAAATTATTGTTACATAGTTATAAGTTTAAATTTATTATTTCAAATTAAGAAAAGTAAAATATTAAATTTAGGGTTTATATTTTAGTAGACTTCAATGTTGAAGTCTTCTAAACCGAAAAAAAAACGAAAATTATACAGACTCAGATATAACACATGATAGAATTTTCATCATCAAAAAAAAAAAAACACACATGATAGAACTGAATAATATTTATGCTAACCGGAAAACCAAAAATAATTACTTTAACTAATATGTAAACCGAAATTGAACCATTGAACCAAAAATTATTAATCAATCCAAAATTTACACCTTTTTATATAAAGGAAACTCATGACTTGTAACTCTAATTTTGTGTAAAAAAAAACTTCCTCAAATTTCTCTCTAAAACGGCGCTGCAATCTCTAGCCATGAATCTCCACCACCTCTCCATTCATGTTGGTTGCTATATGTTGTAGTGGTAAGTCGTGGTTACTCTTCTTCTTTTTAGTATTTATCTCTTTTAACCCGTTTCAGTTTTTCCATCTTCATCTTTTTCTTACTTTTATTTTATTATTGCAGATCTGAGGTCAAAGCGTTGTTATTTGAAGATGATATCAGAAAAGGTTTCGACAAATACGATTCTAGCTGCTCAACTAGCTCTTCCTGGTTCATTTTGTTTTTCTCTAGATTTGTTATCTTTTCGTTTTTTGGTTTCACATTCGTAATTTTTTGTGAAGCAGATCTGTCAATATTTCATGATTGTATTTTAGATCTGTTATTGTTAGCAAAGACTATGTGTTTTGTACTGATTTTTGATTTTTTTTATGTTTATGCTTTTTTTTTTAATTTGGGTTTTCTTCATTCCCAGATAAAAATCAACAATTTCGGCTTCTTTGTGTTTTTGTTTTTCTTCCACAGAGTAGTTTTTTTTTCTTCTGATTTTGAACAGATTGTAAACATTTTAAATGTTTTACTCCTTTCAACTGCAGCATCTCCTTTGGATAACGGCGGCGAGTCCACCTCCATCCTCACCATCTTCGTCTCCTGCCACCTCACAGATCTCAACAAACCATCACCGTCATCTCTATCTTCTCCATTGACAACAAACATGGCTTCTCTCTATCCACAACAAAACGACAGACTTTGTCTTAACAGGGCCAAACATAATAAATAAGCCCATTAACAAATACAGAACCCAATACACCTGGCCCATCTCACCACTACCACGTGAATCCTACTCCAATAAGTAAATAATTAGGCTTTTTATTTGCTCTTTGAACTTTCTTTGTGTAATAATTATCAATTGTTTGTATATAATGGTCATCAATTGTAATAATCATCAACTATAGTAGTCTTGTAATTGTCAACTGTAATTTTTATGTGTATTTATGATGCTATTTTGTGTAGAATGTCTTGTAAATATAATCAAATTATTCTATATAATCACAAGAATCATATTTCAGAGTGATAATGCAAAGAAAAGTTCCCCAAACTAATTCCAAAGAAACATGTTTTATATGACTGATTAGTGCACAAGTTTTAAAATTACAAAGTATGACAAATTCAAAGAAAACAAAATTTAGATTAATAACTTTATTGTTACTAGCAACCAAACTTATTAGCTTTGGGTATAAGAAAGACAATTATCTTTCCGAATATGCACTATAATATTTTTTGTAATAAATGATAAGATTGGAAATTTTTGTAAGGCTAATTGAACAAGAAAAATTGAACCATAATTATAACACAAACATACTAAACTTATATATACATGAAAACATAAAAAAAATATCACATTAGCATATTTAATTACAAAGCACATTATAGTAAACATACAAGTAACATATTTTTATACACAGAAAACTTTGTTTGAAAACTTCAATTGGAGACTTCGTGTGCAGACTTCATCTGTCAACTGCAAGAGAAGTCTACTTTGATAAGCTCACAAGCTTAAAAAACAAAAATTCCTATTTTGCAATAAATATTGACTTAAATAAAATGAAAATCATTAAGTAGTTCAATCACTTGCTAACAAGCATTTCAAAACCAAAAAAATTGAAAATATACTTTATAAATGTGCAAAAATGCGTTTTTAAAATAAATACAATAAGTAGACTTCTAATACAGACTTCAAACGTAGACTGGAGGAGAAGTCTACTTTTTCAAGCTAACTAGCTTAAAAATAAAAAATCCGATTCCGCAATAAAATATCGACTTAAATGAAATGAAAATCATTGAGTATTTCAATCAGTTGCTAACAAGCATTTCAAAACCAAAAAATTGAAAAAATACTTTATAAATGTGCAAAAAAACATTTTTAAAATAAATACAATAACTAGACTTCTAATACAGACTTCAAACGTAGACTGAAGGAGAAGTCTACTTTTTCCAGTGGAAGTCTGCGAAAGAAGTCTACTTAAATAATAGGTTATTTTTTCAATTGACCAAAACTTTTACTTTTATCGTAAGTAGACTTCACTTGTAGACTTCAGACATAAAAGGTTAGTTTTGCGTTTGACCGGGCCATTGATTAACAAAGTAGACTTCTATCGTAGACTTCCGGTAAGAGTAGACTTCTCTGACAGTCTACTCTTGAAGTCTACTTTTTCAATATAAGCCTACAGAAAATTTTAGGTTATTTTTGCAATTGATTGTCTTGAGTAGACTTCACAAGGAAGTCTACTCAAAAAAAGATTCCTTCTAAGTTTGACCAGAAAACTGAAGTAGACTTCTTGATTAATAAGAATCTACTTCAGTTTTCCAGAGTTTTCTGTATTTTTTATTTTTTAAAAAATTTTAGTCAAACACTAAAATGACCTATACGTTTTTGGTCAAACTACAAAGTAACTTAAAAGTAGACTTCTTGTCCAGACGTAAATAGTAGACTTCAGAAAGATTTTTACATTAAAAAGTCAAAATACGGTCAACTACAAAAATAACCTCTTTTCCTTCGTAGACTTTTTGCGACTTCAAACGAAGTCTACTAGTTTTTTTTTGTTTTCAAAGGATATCGAGTAGACTTCAGGAGAAGTCTACTGAAGTCTACTGGTTACATATTTTTTAAAAGTCAATTGCAAAACTAACCTTATGTTGACTAGTAGACTTCATTTTTGAAGTCTACTTTCGCGATACAGATATATATATATATATTACCAAAATTGAAGTGTATCATTACCTGTATCGGTTTTGTGTTCGTTTTTAGGTTTCTTATGCACCCAGAACTCTGAATTTCACCAAAAAAAAAACAACCCAGGTCTCAATTAAGATGAATCACCAAAAATACATAATCTTCGACATTGTAACTCAGCCCAGAAGTTTTGGAGAAGAAATTAAGAAAGAATAAGGAAGGTTATGAGTGTATGAGCTCTCGTATTAACTTATTATAGCTTTAAAATTGGTTGAGAAGCATTTATTTTAATTTTGAGGTTGTTCATGGTGGTTGAATGTATTGAAGAAGATGGCATTATCGTAATAAAGAGGGCTTTAGGAGGTTCAAGGAGACTTTAGCCATTATTTAAAAAAATTGAAATAATGGGTTTATAATGGTATTTTCGTTAATAGCGTGTTCGTTTTTAGCTTTTTAGCGTGTTCGTTGAAATAATGGGTTTACCTGTATCGGTTTTGTGTTCGTTTTTAGGTTTCTTATGCACCCAGAACTCTGAATTTCACCCAAAAAAAATAACCCAGGTCTCAATTAAGCTGAATCACCAAAAATGCATAATCTTTGACATTGTAACTCAGCCCAGAAGTTTTTGAGAATAAACTAAGAAAGAATAAGGAAGGTTATGAGTGTATGAGCTCTCGTATTAACTTATTATAGCTTTAAAATTGGTTGAGAAGCATTTATTCCAATTTTGAGGTTGTTCATGGTGGTTGAATGTATTGAAGAAGATGGCATTATCGTAATAAAGAGGGCTTTAGGAGGTTCAAGGAAACTTTAGCCATTATTTAAAAAAATTGAAATAATGGGTTTATAATGACATTTTCGTTAATAGCGTGAGAGGGAATGATAGAATTGTGAGAAAATGGCAAAAGTTGGAGAGAGAAAAAAAAGAAGTTATTTTGGTGTTTGAATTTTTTTTAGGTTAAATCTGAAACTCTCCCTATTAACATTCGCCTTTACCACTCTTTATATTTTCTCGTTCTTAAGAGAACACAGAATATTTAGTCGTCTATACGCAAAACCCATTCTCAGCCATATAAAGCAATTTATTGAAAAAGTATTGTATTGCACAACAGCCGGCATGGTTTCCGAAAGTCAACTCATTGCCATTTCTCCGGTCTTCTTTTCATCCTAAACACAGAAAATTACACATTTTGAATCAACCTCATGAACGAATTATAATAGAAGATCCATTATAAATAACACCATCGTCAATTACTCTTTAGGCCAGAGATTTAACATCAGACACTCCTTAGGTAAAAGTCGAGCGACAAAAGTCGGAAAATACAGTCAATTACCCGAAGGTTCCCAATTTCGAACAACCCGTGTACATTATTAGGTTTAATAGTAATGGCCATGTGGAGACCTTTGGTTCTTGATGAAAGGATAACAAAGAAGCACTTCATCGTCAAACGCTTGCTTTCACTGCCACCTATGAAGTTCTTTAGTTCTTCATGATTAATAAATGGAAATAGCTAAACCGCCACAATCAACTCCACAAACGCCGTGATTTCATTCTTGTCTCTTCCTTGGACGCTTACTATGCTTCCCCAGCTCCATTTCTGGTGGCTTACTATGCTTCCCCTGCTCCATCTGCGGCCATTAATCCTCCATAAACCCCTAACTGAATTTTTCACGCAACCTTCCTTCACAATCTTTGAAGATAACAATGACCAATCTCTTCAAGCCATAGCCATGACCAGCGTTACTTCATCCACGTACAAACTTGTTACAATCTCTAATGAAATTCTAAATCTCAGTTTCTGGATTTGTGATTGAAAGTCCGATGGATATAGCAAAGACAGAGAGTTTGCATTAATGATGACATAAATTGAGTACGAAGATACATGAAATCATGAATGAGATAACATTGATAATTGTAATTGACAACTAGATCTTAACTAAACATAATAGTGTTTGAATTATAATTTTGAAATATTCAATTTTTTTTGTAAAGCTGATGTGGCATAAAGGATGTGCTGATGTGTCAAACACTTGTGAGACACACTCACTCTTTATATATCAGACTAGGAGAGAACCTGTGCTACGCACGGATCTTGTTTTATAAGTGAATCTGTTTTTGATTTTTAGTTTAACTATCAATTTTATTTCTAGTTCCTTTATCCAAATTTCAAATTTGTTGATCTAAATTTTGGTTTAGAGATAATTGTTAATTTTCTCAATATACATTTTTAATGATTTTAGTAACCTTTTTTTATTTGTTATGTTTTTGAGTTTTTCCATCAAAATCTTGATTAACAACAATTTTAACTTTATCAAATTATAATTTTCATGTTTTCTTATTACATATATTCCATTCAATCCATATTTCAAACCAAAACTTTCAAAAAAATTTCCCATATATATTCTTTTCTTTTTTTTTTCTTTCATATTTTCTCTCTATTTTTGATATCTTGATATTTTCTCGATTTTTAATTGATTTTTTGTGTTATAGCTTTATTGTTCTTATTTGTTATTCTTCAGTTATTTGTTTTTTTTTAAAAAAAAATATCTTGTTTTCAATTTGAGCCTCATAACTTATTTTTTACCATTTCACATTTTTTATGATCTTAATAACTTTTCTATCTATTTTTCAAAAATTTTCATTTAAATCCTCACAGAATAATTATTTTGAAATTTCTAAATTTATTATTGTCATATTTTGTTATTACATATATTTCATAGAATCTATCTTTTCAACCAATACCGTTAAAGTTTTGTATATATATTTGTTGTCGTATTCTTTTCTATCATTTTCTTCTCTAATTTTTATATTCTCTTATCTTCTCTATTATTTATTTATTTTGTGTGTGTTGTAATTTTATAGTTCTTTTTTTTTCTTCAGTTGCTTGAAAATCTTTTTGACTATTGTTTTTATTTTTGGTCTCAAAATTTGTTTTTGTCTGTTATTTTTATTAATTGAATTATTTTTATTAATTCAAAGATAGAGATTAAATCACATGAAAAATAAAAAAGACAATCACTATACTTTAATAAATGTGAATTTCATTTATTCTAAATTTATGTTTTTGTAATTTAACATAGTTAAATGTAAAGTATATAGTTTATATATATTTATGTTGTTTAATGGATTTTCTTTAGCTTTATTACTTTATTTGTTATTCTTCTGTTATTATTTTTAAACATATTGTTTTGACTTTTGCCTCATAACTTGTTTTTTACTATTTTATGTTTCTTATGATCTTAGTAAGATTTGTTTCCGAATTTTTTCATTTAAACTTT